ACATCAATGATATTTTATTATCTTAATTATAAGAAATTTTAAATATTGTGATAAGACGGATTGAAATAAATAATTGTTAGAATATTCACAATATGACGCAATTACACTATCTTATTATTATTCCTAATAGCCACAATTATATCAATATTAATATTTCACCGACTGTCGCCCTCAAATGTTAATGCCGAATTCTTAACCATGAAGACGAGTGGGCACTGCCTAGGAATCTTTATATCCGAAAATGCAAGTTTTCGCCGTTAAACGTATTGTCTGTCAATATTCTTCCTCCATTTTATCAATTTTTCATTAGTTCGGCTTCAGAAGTAATTATAACACTAACAGGTCCCATATAGAGTGTCCCGAAAAGATATATACACACACATTCAGTGAATGAAATAGACATTTTAATATACTAAACCGTTACATAGTTTCAACATTGGCGCTTGTTAAATTAGCGAAGTTTTAATCAAAATGGCCACCGTCAGCTTTGTTGCACAGTTGGCAGCATTGAGAAACTGACAGACGGCCACGAAAGTTCCTGCTGTGTATACATTTTTTTTTGGATCACCTTATACTTACCTTGTCTCTTTTGGATTTTATGTAACCTCGTCGTAGCAGCACCTTCAGCTGATTCCATTGTGATGTCTCCTGGAGTCCTCTACGGGAATCCTTTTTCGTCGAGGGTTTGGGATCCGCTAGTCTGATCATTGGTTCAACTGAAAGTATAATTAATTTTTGTGAGATTTATAATTTTCACGGCGGAGAAGATCCTTCCGGGGTTTGCAACGCTGTGTGGACTTGATGGTAAATTCTGAAAGAGCATACTGCATCCTTGTGAGATTTCGGGTTCTCACGGCGGTGAATATGAAGATGCCTGTCTTCTGAGGTTTTTTTTACAAACGGTTCAGAGGTCCGCCGTACTGATGAAGGCAACAGTGACTCAAAGCCGGATCGTCTTATTAAAACTCAAGGATTGTGGTTCACCTACCTGCTGTTGTCGAAGCTGTGATTGGGTCAAGCGACTTGAACCAGTTGAGATTTCGTCCGTTGTCCGTCTCCTCTACCATTCTTTCAACTTTTTCCTTCCCATGTTCTTCGCAAGCCAACTCGATTACTGCAACATAATTGTACACATCGATCAATCTAGCTGTGCCACTGGCGGCTGTTGTAAGTTATTGAACAAACTGCGTTTAGATTTATATTATATTTTACAACAGAGGAAACAATAATTAATTTACAATCAGACCAATTTTATCTCTTTTCTTCTCTTCTAATCATATAAATATTTTGATATATGTTTGGACATTAATATATGTATGATTTATATTTATTTTTTATTTATTTAGTGTTCTGTCTGACGACAAGTCCATATGAACAGGATCCTTCCATCCTTTTCTAGGACTGGGACCTGTTCATATACGTTCTTGGCAGATGATCCAGAAGTGGTTTGCCATAGCCTTCTTCTGTGTGTGAATGGAGTAATTGTTGGGATGCCACGGAGAAAAACTCCGTGTTGCCTAGACCACGGCCTTGCCCAACACAACACATCACCTTATTTCGATTACTTTTCTATCAGGGAATAATGATGTCGGATAGATTGCGTTAAAGTATTCGTATATGTCCTGATGCTTAATTTTAATTACGAAAGTTTACTGTGGATAATTATGACGTCTCTTGGATTTTAGTGCTACGTTAAGGCGTTAATTTGTGCTTTGTAAGTAAATATGTAAGCTAAAAAAGTTTTTTTTTTTTTTTTTTCAAATGCATAAGATGGACTAGAATTTCACACGAGATCCTAAACACATTTTCAGACACATACAAGTGATTGTCAACAGATCGAAACATGTCTGTCACGAAACTTGTAGAGAAGGATATAATATTTTATTTTGTAAAGTTTCTTCGTGTGAACGCGTTCATTCGGTTGTGATAAAACTTTTGTTTTAGCTTGTATCTCTGTGCGCTGGGAGAAACAGGTTTTCCTGTTGACGTTGGCACTCTGACGTCACTAGTGGGGGCCAAGGATTCAAACTCTTTGCGTACATGGATTAGCTTTTTCTAAACACTTTTCTTCAACGCTTTGTGCTTAACTACTCAATGACATTGATGTTACATACGATAATAATATTTCCATCAGACACTGTGAGCAACACGATGATGACGGAGGCAGTATGACCTCTGAAACGTTGGTTAACATCGACCAGACTACACAGCGCAACAACCCAGGAGACGGAAATCTTCAAGTATTATGAAGCCCAGAATTCAAAGCATTTTTAACATAAATTTGTTTTCCGTGATCCCTTTGTGTTGTGAACTAGATTAGATATGTGGGTCATTGACTTATGGATATGATAATGCATGTGTGTCTTATCGCTTAGGCAAACAATGCTTCTATTAGAAATGTAACTGATAGAATTTTCGTTTTGTAATCACTGTCTAAACTTCATTGTAACGATGTTTAGACAGAAATACCGTCGCTTGTAAATGATTTAACCGTACTGCAGTGTCGGAAACCACATATTGCTCACAAACTCAGGGCAGAGAGTAGAAGCTTATTCGAAATCTTGACACTTTTTGCCAAAGGTTTTACTAAATTTCTCATAAAAAATGTTCATGTCGGATGCTGCGCGTAGTAGTCTCGCAGAAACTGACCAACGTTTCAAAGGCGCTTGCTGCCTCCATCATCAGGGTGATGACACTGCCAAGTACTGACGATAATAATTTTTTCCGGTACTGGGTTACTATTTTTCGTGTTACAGATGTTACGGGTCTCGGTTTGAGAATTCAATTTTACCAGGAACAGAGTCGTGGTGCTTACCATAATCTGCGGGGTTGTGGTATTTGGGACAAGGAAGTTGTAGCTGTTGCAGGTACGGAACTAGCTGTTGAGTCGAGCCTTGGTACAAACAGAGGCCCTGAGACAGGACGTACACGTGATCGAACATTCGAAAGAGCGAGGCACTGGGTTGATGGATTGTGCAGACGATGGTGCGTCCCTGTCGGGCCAACAGCTTCAGCAGGGACACGCATTGCGTGCATGAGGAGCTGTCCAGACCTCTGAAACATGTCATTACATCCTTTTCCGTATAATTTTCAGAATGGAATTTCGCCCACAAAGTGTCTGTATGGATTTCGTGTGATTCTGAAAAGAAACAGGGATTATTTCCTTGTACAGCATTAACCAACTGATCTTACTGTGTTTTTCTTTGAGGTAGGAACGGACCTTTTACGTGAAAGACTTTGTCTTCAAATAAATTAATAGCCTCAGCTTTCTCTCAAATAAATTCTGAGATGTTTCCCAACTTCCAAGTTGCTACTCTATGTTTCTCTGGCAGCCCTCGAGAGAGTCCCTCACTTCTCCTTCGTAATTTTATATTTTCTCCTGTCCTTCTTAGGTTTCACGGTTTCTTTTTCCCCCCCGCCCCCCCCCCCCCCCCATTTGGTTGATAAAGAACTTTTTTTTCCCCTGGACCATGTTGTCATTTCCTTCCGGATATCGCCTCGCTCCTCTGTCCAATCACGGTTTGATTTGTTACTCTCCGCCAACATTTAAAAAGACTGTGAACGGGAACTTACGTCGTGGGCTCGTCCAGGAACAGGAAGAGGGGGTTGGCGATGAGCTCCAGGGCGATAGACAGGCGTTTCCTCTGCCCCCCTGAAAGTCTCTCTGCGCGAGTGTTCCCGTGATCTGACAGCCGCAGTGTGACCAGAATCTCGTCGATCTGAAATATCAAGAGAGTCTGAATTGAGAAAAGTTTTCTAAATGAATCAGAGAGAAAGTTTTGTCCGTAGGCCTGTTTGCTGACGTTTCAGACTGCTCGGCGCAACATCCCAGAATACAATCTAAGGTACTGTCTCGGCATATACCTGGAGGGATCAAGGAAAACAGCGAGAATTTCTCAATCAGGATAGCCGGTCTCTGAACCTGGTATTCCTGAGTACGAAGTAGGGGTCCTAACGACTTCCCCTCGACTTTCAATGACATTCACTTTGAAAATTAGCAGAAGAATAGCGTATTTTATGTTTATTCCAAAGCAGCCTTCCTTCTAATTGTATTTGTCTGAAACAGTTAGAAACTAAGTCCTGTATTACGACGTTGGACTTTGTATTGTGGCAACGCCAGTTTGTCCTACGTCCAGAAAGTCGCTAGTTTAGGACACGTCCACTTGATTTCGGTGTCTTGTTCTTTGCCGCATTGATTAGAAATAATTAGACTCTTCATTACAACATTTTTGCCTGCGTTAAGAATTAAAATGTCTGTCACAGAAACGTGTCTTTGTTCTGATTTTGTATTGTCACAAGGTTGTAATGCAGGTGTTTATATTGCATTGCGCTCTCTTGTGGCAGAATAAATTAACAGCGTAACTAAGTTCTAAACTTTCAAGGACTTCGTCTGGAACCGATTTTCCTTGTAAACAAATAATTATATCTTCTGGGAATACCATTACGTAGTCAAGTTTCTGTGAATTCAGTGCAGTACAAAGGGCGTTAGGTTGGACCTGGAAGTTTGCAGTAACTTCAGGTTATGCGT